CATCATGAAACAATCTTATAAACCAATAGTAAAAACATTTAAAACACTTAGAAGCCGGAAAAGGCTTGGTATCCAGTCTGTTCAGAGTTTGCATCATCTTTACTCCACCACCAAGTTACGGTGTAAAGATTTTAACTTCGTCTTTTTTTCATTTCACTATATCTCCTGAATAACACAGAGTGTCAAACCTCTACGAGATAAGTTATTTTACCTACCGATTCTACAGGATTGGGCTGAATGGACACTCTCTCTAACCCTCTATACTACTGCTGTGTGGCGCCGTCTTGTCTGATAGAAAATATCCGTTTTTTCAATATATACAGACATTATAATGTCCTTGATAATTGAATATATTATAATACATTTCAGGACAGCAAGCGCGCGTCCGCGATAGTGATTGGTCAAAAATATCGTTCGATGTTATTTTGTGCCAGTCTCTAGTAAATTGTCTGTTACCAAATTGTACGTACAACAAGGACATTTTTCTAATGAAACGTTATACAGGGCAGATTGGCCATGGGCACGCGTACTAGCTGTTCTGTCGCGAATACCAGCACGTGTTTAGAGAGAAACCTTGAATTTTACAACCACTAGAAACATCTTTTTTTTATATTCCAACATTTAATCCCAAGACGTGGTAAAGGACACTCAAGGCCACCGACACAATACAATACTCATTTTCACCTGAGTAAAGTGTGGAAAGTTCTGCTACTGTATTTATATTTAATCACAAGACGTGGTTAAGACACACTCAAGTTTTATCAATTTGTATAAATGCCGCCACCAACACAATACAATACTCATTTTCACCTGAGTAACGTGTGGGAAGTTCTACTACTGTATTTATTCAGCCTGGAATAAATACAGTCGTGTTGGAGCAAGGATATTCTACAGAACGTCCTTGGGTGGACACTACTCTCCAAGCAGAGGTTTGGGTTTTGGATTAGTTTTGGTGTGCTTTAGGCTTTTTTATTCGTGTTTCCTTTTTGCATCTTTCTCACAGGATGTACAAGAACGAACTCCTTCTGATAAAGTAATCCACATGTTCCTCTGGAAGCTTAGCAGCAAGACAATTATTGTGGGCGTATGATGGCAATGAACAGTCCCCTATCGACGGTGTAGCAAAGTTTAGCAGCTTGACCTTGATGCCTCATAACTTTTGATGTCATTTTTTTCTCATATTTGTAATAATACGTCGATCAAACAGGGCAAACAACGATGACAAACTTCACATTTTCCACACAAAGCCTGAGCC